TAGTCTTTTCGCAGTGAAGTAACTAGGTACAATGCCACGCCCCGCTTTCTAGTCTAAGCACTAGCCAATCAAGGTTGCCATTCTATTCAAGAAAATGCAGACTACCGAATGTCTCATGTATCTACCGGGGGCCCCATACCCCACTAGGAGGACATTTCGTCGAGTTAGCTTGGCTTGAACCGTGAATAATGTTTTATATAGAAGCCACAGTAATGAATTGCCTTAAGTAGTGAATTATTCATCTCTGTGTTTTCTACTAATCTCTTCGATAGCGCTAGCCCGTTTGATCGGTAAACCCATTCACAAACTTTCCGAGAAATGTGACGCCCAGTTTATATTTTGAAGATATTGTAAGTGAAAGATAAGCCAACTCGAAAAACAGGCGAAGAAAGGGACAAGCGCATGCCAAATCGTTCTAGTATGGAGAAGCTTTATTCTTTTCACACCATAATACGGGCCGAAGCTTATGAATCAAGGTCGGTGTAAATTACTATGTGAAGTAGGCAAGGCTACGTAGAAGCGTAATACCGTAGGGCAGAACTTGGCCCCGAAGCTTCGTTTCTGTAACAATTAATAAGCTGGCACGTTCAAGTTACTTGTATGTGCGTGGTTATAGCGGCATCAAAAAAGGTACCGTTCCAATTTGTGAAGACGACGGTCAAAGTTCAATCTTAATTATTAGTCATGAAAGTGAACGAATATCGAAAAAGAAAGGATGGTGCGCTAGATTTGGAGCGGAGGAGGAACCTCTTTCGCCGAGAGCTTTCTGATGATCAGATCAAGCAGATGGACGGAGTCAATCTGATGACTCTGAACGACACGATCCAGCCAACTCAGAACATACTTGAGCGCAGGAATGACCTTTGCAAATTGACCCGGATCCAGAGATTTCTCCACGCAATCGAACATATTGAGGAGCTTGTGGCAATGTTTCTTAGCGCCGACGCCAGTGGCTTCGTGGCTTTCATCTGGGTAAGATCAAGCTATATCCCATGGCTGTTTCGGCACTGATTGAGGCTTTTTAGGGTCCGATCAAACTGGCGCTCATGATCACCACCACCTGGACGGACGCTGTCAGGCAGTTGATTGATGCCTACGAAGAAATTGCAGAAGCACTCGGTAACCTAGCCTTCTTCCATAACCTCGTTCAGAGTAGAGATCACTTGAAATTGGTATTGGAGGATTATTTCTCAGATATCCTTCGCTTACATCAATGCGTTCTAGATGTATTTTTTCGCCCAGTTAGGTCTACTCGCGTCTCTATATACCATGCTCCCACATTAATGTTGTGTGCTAGAGGGTAAAAAATTCTTTAAATGGGCTTGGGAATGCTTCCGGCGCGAGGTCAAGCCTATTGCTGAAAATCTCAAACGCAAACGGTCATTGCTATCTGACGATAAGCTACAGTCCCACGTCGTCCTGAAAGAAGTTCAAG